CTATCTATCTATCTATCTATCTATCTATCTATCTATCTATCTATCTAACATATTCATTCATCATCTATCTACCTTTCATTCATCTCTCTCAATCTATCCATCTATCTACCTAACTATCATCCATCATACCTACCTATCATTTATCTAATCTATCATCCATTTCTCTATCTATATCTATCTATCATCTATCTATCATCTATCTATCATCTTCCTGTACTCTCTGTTTATGTGTCTATATCCACAAAGATTAGAATACTGCAAATTATGGTATTCCCTGTGACACTGTATGAAGGGACAAGAAGAGTATTGATGCTTTTGAACTTTGGTGTTGGAGAAGACTCCTGAAGATGACCAAGAAAGCAAACAAATGGATATTCAAACAAATCAACCCAGATTTCTCACTCAATACCCAAATGACCAGCTCAAATTGTTATCCTTTGGCCACATTATGGGAAGACCTAGCTGTCTGAAGAGAGTTGAGAAGGGTGGATGGAATGAGAAGAACAATAGGAAGGTGAATATATGGAAGACGGTACATTGTTGGAAGACTAGTAAGAACAGATTAGGGATGAACCATCAGGAAAAAAAAATCTCTGTGGTCACCAAGAGTTAATACTGACTTGATGACATATAATCAGTCAAACTGTCTGTTCGAAGTAGAAGGAAGAGGCACCATGCTTAGTCTTTATAATGGAAAAAAAAGCATTTGCTGTAGTAATGACTGTCAGTAGATTATTCTACTACAAACAACAAACACTGAAAGAAGTCTGAAAGCTTCAGGGCATTTTGCTCTAGAAGAGAGACTTACAACATCCACAAGATGAAAAATACCTTCTCGGCCAATGTTTTGTACTCTGAGAGCAGATACCTAACTGTTCTAGCAATGAATAGAGCTGTTCTAAATGAAGGAGACTTCTTACTGCTCTACCTACTAGGTGATTAAAGCAATCTTTGATTGTGGGTTACAGGTTGAAGACAGAGTAAATCCAGATATAGGCTTTTTGAGGTTCACGCTTAATATGAATCAGCACCTTGAGTGTTAATGTGAAGAAGATAGCAAACCTTTCATAGGGATTAGCATTTATTTTTACTTGTATCACAAGAAGATGTACTGTATATGGGAGATTCCAACTGCAGTCATTGGGGCACAAATGGGTGTTTAGGTCAGGGCTGGAGATATTGCATGGGGTTTAGCAATAGCACTTAGACTTATATACCGCTTTACAGTGCTTTGCAGCCCTCTCTAAGCAGTTTATAGAGTCAGCCAATTTTCCCCAACAATTTTGGGTCCTCATTTTACCCATCTTGGGAGGATGGAAAACTGAGTCAACCTTGAGCCAAGTGAGATTTGAACTGCCAAATTGCAGGCAGCCAGCAGGCAGCACAAGTAGCCTGCAGTACTGCAATCTAACTACTGCATTTAGTATTGAGTACCCTTATAAAACAAATGTTGGCCCTCTATTTTGGCTCATAGCACCCAGGAAAAGGTTTCTTACATACCGTGCATTCTTCTTTTTCTTCTTGTGCCATTATTGGATGTTGGCAATCCTATTTTTATCAATAGCCACATGAAAAAGTGCTGTTGAGTTTTGTCCAAACCCCAGTCCCGTTGATTTCGAAGCCATGATGTGTTTTATTCTGCCTGGACCTCATCTGCCTTCAATCTTTCCTTGGAGGATTAAGTGAAGGATGCCATATTTTTCCAAGTGCTGCATCACTTGTTTGAAATATTCTAACTTTCGTTTTTTAATGGTTCTGATGATTTCCCTTGGCTTTCCCAGGCAGCTTATCACCTCCTCATTTCTGATTTTGTCAACCCAACTTATACGTAACAGCTGCCTGTAACTCCACATTTCAAATACTTCTAGTCTCTTCAAGTGGCCCGAGACCAACAACTCTGCACTCTGTAGGGGAGGATAGACATCTGTAGAGTGCATACAGGTGAACGTTTGTTCTGGAAATATAACAGAATAATGGAAGGGACCATGGAGCTTTTTCAGCCCAATCCCCTGCTCATGCAGCAGACCCTAGACTATTTCAAATGAGTGGCTGTTCCATCTCTTCTTAAAAGCCTCCAGTGGTGGAGCACCCACAACTTTGAGTGGCAAGGAGTTCCACTGGTTAACTGTCCTCACTGTTAGAAAATTTCTCCACAGTTTCGGGCCGCTTCTCTCCTTGATTAGTTTCCATACATTGTTTCTTGTCTTGCCTTCTGGTGCTTTGGAAAACATTACAGTAGTCCTTGACTTATGCCAGTGGTGGGATTTTTTATTTTTTTTTACTACCGGTTCTTTGGGCGTGGTGTCATGGGTGTGGCTTTGTGGGTGTGGCTTTGAGAGCATGGCTTTGTGGGCATGGCAGGGGAAGGATACTGCAAAATCTCCATTCTCTCCCCACTCCAAGGAGAAGATTACTGTAAAATCCCCATTCCCTCCCCATCCCACTAACCTACTTTCCAGCTCCGTTCTCCTATGCAGGGCAACCAAAGAAGACCCAGCCAATCAGCTGGGATTCGGGAGGCAGATAATAGATTGGGGGAGGGGCAGTCAAGGGGCGGGTATTTGCTGGTTCTCTGAACTAGTCAAAATTTCTGCTACCGGTTCTCCAGAACATTTTTGTTGCTAAGCAAGACAGTTGTTAAGTGAGCTTTGACCCATTGTAGGACGTTTCTTGCCACAATGGTTAAATGGTTCATTGTGGTTCTTAAGTTGGTAACTTAAGGCTGTTAAGCGAATCTGCCTTCCCCACTGCCTTTGCTTGTCAGAATCACACACGATCACACACGATCCTGGGACGCTTGTCAGAAGTATGATCCAGATGGCAAGAATCTGAATTTTGATTGCCTGACCACAGGGAATGCTGCAACAATCGTAAATACGATAAACCGGCATCGATCGTGTTTTCAGTGCCGCGTTAACTTTGAATGGTCATTCAATGAATCGTTTTGTAAGTCGAGACTTCCTGCATATCGCTAGTTCACACCTGTCTTCTTCTCCGTGAAACATTTTGGAGATTCCAAAGCTTGTGGCATTTCTGTGATCAAAAATGAAGTACACCTAGTTATGCACCCAGGCAGTCCAAGCCTTAAGGCAAAAGTTTCAAAAATTAGGATACCAATAGGCTGTTTCTTTTCCACATCAGATTTTTAGGGAAGCCGGCAGCACTTGAGTGCATACAGACAGCAAAGTTATCTTTCTGTTTTTGTTTTTTGTTTTGTTTTGGACCAAGTTCTAGGGCAAGATGTCTTTTGGTTAGGACCCAATTAAGGCGTTTTAACCAACTCCTAAAAGTTTAAAGAGCTGTTTCTGCTGCCTAAGGAGCACCATTTCCCCCATAATTTTGTCACCACCCAGCCTTCTTTTGTTCTGTGGTGAGCACTAGTTAAATAATAATAATAAGCACGCTCCCCCCAAAAAAGTAACCTTTGTATCGTTCAGAACAGCTGCACAATAATGTGACACACACATACCCAGAATGAGAGAGAGAGAGAGAGAGAAAGAGAGCTAAATGACCATTTCTTCCTATGAATCACTGGAAAATTGCCCCAAAGGAGAGTGATTTTAAAAATAAGCCAAAATGTGTTTACACGAGAAATGAGGAGGGAGAGAAAAAATGTACCTCTTTCTCCACTGACATTTGAAGTTGCGGCTTTTAAGTGAGGAACTAATGTGCTTCTGACACACAGTTATAATTATTTGGATACGTTTGTCTTTTCATCAGGTGCTTTGTGTGCAGAAGTTCCTACCTTTCTGGCTTCAACCTGCAGGGTAAGCAATTGAGTAGCAAATAATGTGAAATACTGTCCTCTTTTGATCCTGGGAATCCAAAGCAAATCAGCTTGGGTGATCTTGGGTTAGAGAAAAACAGCCAAACTTTATAGAATTATGGAATTCCTAGAGCTGGAAGGGACCTCAAAGATCTTGTAGTTCAACCCCCTGTGCAAAGCTGGAGTCTTTATACCACCCTGGACAGGTGGTTGTCAGTGTTCCAGCAAACAAACGCCAACCCAACAAACTCCAAGACATGCAATTCATCAAAGTTCCATTTTATTAGGGTTGTCATATTGGGAACATCTGGGAAAACCCAAATCTGAGAGCTCCAGGTTTCTCCAAAAGAAATTCAAAGATCCATCCCCTGCACCCACAAGTCCATCACATGGTCCAATCAAGCGTCATCCCAACTGGAGACCTTCCTCCAGACACTCTAGGTGTAGGGCAACGTGTCCTTGACTCTCTGAAAAAGAATGGTGTTGAGTTTAATCTTCTACTCACTAGGAAATCCCCCCCACCTCCCAAATTCCCAGGCACTAAATGTGGTTGCCTCAAAGCTTCCAAGTAAAATATGGCTCCCAAAGGTGACAATGGTGTCCAATCCTTTCTTGGTGTAATCTTTTCTGGGTGCAAGAAAACTCACACAAAGAAGTTTCCCACAGTCCCTTTCCTGTTCCTCCTGCCATTTTAGGAAGCTGTTCTAAAGACAGGGAGAATATTCTGAGGGGAGATTTTCAGTGGGGGCTCCAAGCAACTGTCATGGCGAAGGGCACTCGAGTCAAAGAGAAAGCCAGTCCTGGGTGCTCAGGAGAACCAGCTTACTGTGTCCTTGCTTTGCTTCAAGGGTTTTCCTGATCCTCTCCGTTGAAAACCCAGAGATTGACTGGGAACAAACAAAACCGAAAGAGCTGTCAGTGAAAGCAAGATACACACACACACACACACACACACACACACACACACACACACACACCTTCACACCAAACAGGCACTTCAGGGCTTCTGGGGTTCCTCCCAGGAATTTCTCCATCATTTCTATGGTAAGCTGAATCTTTGCTATTTTCTTCCCACTGCAAATAACGGAAAGCCTCATCTGTGTGCTTAATGTGCACGCTTGCACACACGATGTCGGGAGGTTTCACCCAGCCTAAATTATCATGATTTTGTAAGTGGCCCAGAATTGCTCTAAGGATGAGATGGGACAGAGAAAGAAAGAAAGAAAGAAAGAAAGAAAGAAAGAAAGAAAGAAAGAAAGAAAGAAAGAAAGAAAGAAAGAAAGAAAGAAAGAAAGAAAGAAGAGGGAGGGAGGGAATAAAGAAGGAAGGAAGGAAGGAAGTAGAGAGAAAGACAGAGAGACAGAGAAAGAGACACAGAGAGAAAGACACAGAGAGAAAGAGAGAGGAAGGAAGGAAGGAAGGAAGGAAGGAAGGAAGGAAGGAAGGAAGGAAGGAAGGAAGGAAGGAAAGAAAGACACAGAAAGAAAGAAAGAAAGAAAGAGAGAGAGAAAGGAAGGAAGGAAGGAAGGAAGGAAGAAAGGAAGAAAGAAAGAAAGAGGGAGGGAGGGAGGGAGGGAGGGAGAGGAAAGTCTAAGAACTATGGATTAAACTGAGGGAAAAAGAAGAAGGAAAAACAAAAACAAAAAGAATTAAAACATCTCTATGCTGCCATAATACAATGTAAGAGAGAAAAGAAATACTTTGCTTGCCTGATTTTTCTTTTACAGTTTCACATACTAAGTGCTCCAAGCCAAAGTGCCAAAGTTGACATTTTCATTTGCATATTTAGCAATTATGTAGGTTTTTTAGTTTGTTTGTTTGTTTGTTTGTTTAAAAAAATAGTCTCTGGTAAAATTCAGGATACGTTTCTCAAGGACAGTTTCCCCCCCTGAAAACAGACTTTGTTCAGGGAGCCTTTTTATCCTTTGTGCAAATTAGAACAGAGAGTGTGAAATATTTACTGGGGTTTCAGAATGCCATATACTTTGGGTCAAGGTTTTCATTTCCAGAGAATGAATCAACCCCGGTATCTATCAGAAGGGTATGAACAAAAGGGGAGAAAGGAAAAAATGGGTTTGGATTGTTAACGGCACAGCTGTGTGTGTTTATGGTCTGCTTTTCTTTTTCTTTTTTTCCCGGAAATTACAATAGTAAGATATCGGGAGATGTGTGCCCAGCTAAAAGATTCAAAGAGTGAAGAGAAGAGCAACCAAGATGATTAGGGGACTGGAGGCTAAAACATACGAAGAACAATTGCAGGAATTGGGGGTGACTAGTTTAATGAAAAGGAGGACTAGGGGTGACATGATAGCTGTCTTCCAATATCTCAGGGGCTGCCCCAAAGAAGAGGGAGCCAAGCTATTCTCCAAAGCACCTGAAGGCTGGAGAAGAAGCAATGGATGGAAACTCATCAAGGAGAGGAGCAGCCAAGATTTCTTGACAGAGAGAACAATTAACCAGTGGAACAACAGGTGCCCAGAAGTTGTAAATGCTTCAACAACCCTGGAAGTTTTAAAGAAGAGATTGGATAACCATTCATCTGAAGTGGAGTACGGTCTCTTGCCTAAGCAGGGAGGGTGGACTAGAGGACCTCCAAGGTCCCTTCCAAGTCTGTTATCCTGTATTCATAGTTCAATAACTCAAAAGTTATTGAGACCATCCAGTAGACAGTCAGGCAGACAGACAGACAGACAGACAGACAGACAAGACAGGCAGGCAGGCAGGCAGGCAGGTGGACACAGACACACACACAGACACAGACACACAGACACACACACATCCCATCAAATGCATTGTGTTTTTAAATAAATTCCAGGAATCCCATTTATACGGGTCCTTGTGTGTCCTACTACAACACACAAAAACTAACTTCGTGGGGGCTTATGATCCTGAATGGAATATAACAAAGTGATGAAGGCCGGGCACATTCTCAAACAGACTCAATCAGTATATTTGTGCCATTTTTTTTTTTTCATGTACTACGAAAGTATCTGGAGATGCAGGGCAGTCATAAAATTATAATTTGATCTGAAGTGCATTGCAACATGTCTCCAAAATTCTACAATGGCAAGAAAAGTCTGTTGGAAATTCTTCTTCTATGCTGCTTTGACCAAACATGGTTTCTCGGAGAAGAGCCAACAGGTAAAGCAGCATAGTTTCGTGACATTTTAGGAGCAAACCTCTTTGGGTACCTTTAATTGATTAAGGAAGGCAGAATAACAGAATAATGGAGTTGGGAGGAACCTTAGAGGTCTTGTAGTCCAACTGTTTCTCAAATAGGAGACCCTGTATCACAAGTGGCTGTCTGGTCTCTTTTTAAAAGTGATGGAACATCCACAACCCCTGAAGGCAGGGGGCGGGAAGCGCTGCTGATAAGAATTTCATGAAAAACCTCTTCTGCTTGCATTCTTTGTTCCTTAATCCAATGCCAGAGATCAGGGGTGGGATTCAAAATTTTTAACAACCGGTTCTGTGGGCGTGGCTTGGTGGTCATGTGACTGGGTGGACATGGCTTGGTGGTCATGTTATTGGCTGGGCGTGGCCAACTCAACATCACTCACATCGAGGCACGCATCTCCTCGCCTGGACTCTCATGACCGTGGGGATGCTGCAACAGTCGTAAGTGTGAAAAATGGTGATAAGTCACTTTTTTTCAGTGCCATTGTAACTTTGAATGGTCACTCCACACAAACAAATTACCAGCAAATGAGGGCAAACAAACTCAAGAGAAGTTCCTGAGACAGGAAGTCTAGTCCTGCCAAGAATGTAATAAAGGTTAACAGTTTCTGTAAGCAACACCAGAATGTTTCCTTCCTGCCTTCCTTACAGGACTAGGCCAGTAATTTCTTCTAACAACCGGTTCTCCAAACTGCTTACAATGTTAACAACTGGTTCTAGCGAATAGGTGCAAACTGGTAGAATCCCAGGGTCAGGGAATGGGGATTTGAGATGGAGAAACTTTTGTAATCAAAACAAAATACTTTCTCTTGGGAACCAAGGACATTTTCACACCTGGTCAGAAAAAGATGAAGTGGTACCACCCAGTTGTTGGGCTGCACATTGATTGTACCATGTGACATTGTTTTGAGAAAGTAGAAAATATTTTACTTTTAATAAGGCGAAAACTGCAGGAGTTTTCAGAGTCGGTTTTCACCAGATCTGTGTCGATATGATGTTTCCAATAAAAGTAATCTCTGAGGAATTCAATTGCCTCAGAGTCTTGCTTGCAATGGATTTATTGCTTGGAACTCCGACACACATCTTCACTTGGCACAGGAACAAATTTGAACAGACCCAAAGAAGGGAACCATTCTCGACTTTGGGTACCTACCTAACACCCATAATTAACTTCTTTCTAATCTAATTTCCCTAACCAAGGGTCATCGAGTTGGTAATATAATATTCTTCTACTGAGATCTAGCAGCAATTGAAAAATGACAGTGATATGTCATAGTCGCATGCAATAACTGCCAACTTTTAATAACACCAAACCATTTTGTGCAACTAGCACCACTCAAAGGTATTCCTTGCACTTCATCCTTACAATCAGGTGGAATTAAAAAGCAAAGCACAATGGGCTTTGCCACAAATCACCCACTTCAACTTAAAACAGTTGTACAGCTTTGCCTCAAGCATCCACCTTATCGTCACACGTCTTGTGTTGGGAAGGACTGACATAGCAATACATCACATTTTTATTTATATTTTCTCACTTTTCTTTCCCCTGTTCTTCTTCAGTATAATGAAAAATTGGTTTCCCCAGAGGCGAAAGGAAAATCCAATGAAATTCTCAGGTGGATGCAGGACTCTTCTAGTTATCCTGGTTATGAAGTAACCAATATGAGCTTATGAACATGCTGTCAGGGTTCTATCAACTCATAAAATATTCCTATGCCTGTTTTAGTAGTTGCCATAAAAAAAACGGGTGGGAGGAAGAAATCTGGAACAGCAGTTGAAAGTGATAGTACATTCCAACTCTTATCTTTAAAAGATTGTAACTAAAATACCAGAGCTTTTGCCCGTGAATATATTTAATTGGAGAACGTGAATGATGACACTCAGCCCATGAATGTGCTCAATTGGAGAACCTGGTTTATAAGACATCCAGTGGGGAGGGGGGAAACAGAGTCACAGGGAACTGCAAATTTTGTATGCCAGAGTTGGCTTCATGCAGGGCACTGCTAGTATGTCGCCTCTAATGAATCCTTTGAAGTCTTCTGAAGTTTGGCTCAAGAATCATGATTTAATTAGGGTGATTGCTGGAATCATGACAATAACAGCCCGGA